CCCTCACTACTTGGTGTGGGCCGTGTCGTCCCCCCTCCGCAGCCCCCGTGGTGGTACCGCCCGGAGGGGTCAGCGGCCCCGCCCCCAAGTGCCGATGCTGTGACGTCATTGAACGTCACGCGTTGTGTAATAAGTGACGTTACAGCGAGTGGTGAGAGGGCGGGTTTGGAATTATATATAATAATTATATATATAATATAGATTTCACACATGGATCATGTGGAGAATATACGTTGTATATTATTAATTTTCATAGCATAAAAGATATTTAATAAAAATAATAATAATATTAACAGTAATGATATAGATAGCATAATGTATATATAGCATAAACTACAGAATAATAAATTTTTGTGAATTAATGTATAATATCATAACTAAATATTAGTTAGGATATAAAATAGATATGAGTATTTTCTATAGTACTATATTATAGATATAAAATAATATACTTAATATATTAGTATATTAATATATTATTTACTATATATTATATATTATCTATCATAGGTATAATAGATATATTATAAATAATATATTATGTATATTATATTAATATAATACTTGATATACTTAAATATAGTACTATATAATATGTATTACATTTATATATTTTTATATACATATATAGTATAATGATATTATATCATTATACCATAATATAAAATTATATTAGATTATAATATAACATTATAATGTTATATTATTATAATGTTATATTATTATCATTATTTAATATATAATGGATCTAATTCAATACATTATTATATAATGTATAATAATGTCTTATTGTATACATTATATAATATCACAATATATACGTTTTTGTATAGCGTACAATTTGTACAGAATTTGATGTAACATTATTTTATAATACTCTAATTCATATTAGAGTGAGGGAGATGTTATATGTATCTTCTATATATTTATCTATATCTATACCATCCTGATAGATATAAAAAATAATGTATCTTATTTATATATTAAAAAAAATAAAAATAAAAATAAAAATAAAAATAAAAATAAAAATAAAAATAAAAATAAAAATAAAAATAAAAATTATAGTAAAAATAAAAACAAAAATAAAAATATGCACAGGACACTTTTTAAAATAGATATTATTCTAGTTATTATATATTTTATTTATATAAATATTTGGGACCCCTTGGGCTGAGGCCAGACCCCTCTGTTGGTCCCACCCTGGGGCTTCTCATCCTCATCCCTGTGTTCTCCTGATCCTTGTCCCCTGTGCCACGGAATCTTGGAATTCCAGATGGATTTGGGTTGGGAAAAACCTTAAATCCCATTCCCCCATCCCAGGGTGCTCCAAATCTCACCCAAGCTGGCCTTGGACACTTGGACACTGTCCCTGCATCCCCCAGCCCCAAATCTGGGATTTCCCAGAGCAGGACTCGATGCTCTGGGAAAAGGGGAGGCAAGCAGGACCCTCTGGAATTCCGGGAATTCCTGGGGGGTGGGGAAGGGATCGGCCACGACTGGAGCTGTTCTTGTTTCATCCGTGCTGTTTTCCCGTTTGGAGCCTGATTCAAAGCTTAGGGAGGAAAGGGAATTGAAATTAGAATGAAATAATATTGGTCCAAATTCCGAGGAATTTGGTGATGCCTCCTTGGCTCTGCTCCCCTGGCCGGCTGCAGGAAGGCAACAAATTCCCAGAGCTTCCTTTAAACCAATCCATGGAAAACAGGGAATGACTCAGCACAAGCAGGGTTTATATTTTTAGCTCCTTCCAAACCGAAATTTCTTATTAATCCCTTCAGTTCTAGCCCCAAAATAACATCATTTTGTGCCTGGAAAACCATTCCCCACCTGAGGAGCTGGGATTGCTCCTGCCAAAATCCAGCCTGGCTTTAATGTTTTGGGTGTTATCAGGGAAAAAAATGCTGATCCAGGAAGGAAACGGCAGCGTTGGATCACGAGGCTCTGCTCAAGGGAGACTCACAGGGTTTGTCAACCTGAGAGATTTGGCCTGGATCCAGAGGTGGCTAGAACAGGGATTACATGTTGGGTGTTATAAATGAAATTAGAATTTTGACAACTAGGTCCCTTGGGTTAATAACAGTTGAATTAAAAATTAATACAATTTAGTAAATTGAATAGTAATTTGGTATAAAAGAATACAGTTTAATGAAAGAATACAATTTAGTAAAAAAATTACAATTTATATCTATAATTTGTCAGAATATTATTGGACAGGGCTTGGAGCAGCCTGGGACAGTGGGAGGTGTCGCTGCCCATGGCAGGGATGGCACTGGACGAGCCCTTCCCACCCAAACCATTCCAGGATTCCACAGTTCTTCCCCAGGTTTCCACTGCTGGACATTCCTGCGGTCAGGAATATCCCTGGGCTCAGCTGTCCCAGCTGTGTCCCCTCCCAAAGTCTCATTTCTTGTCCCACTCAAAGCAGGAAAAGCCTGGAGGTTTTGTAGCCCCACTCAGAAATACCAAAAACACCTTGCTGTAAACAACCCCAGACCCAAAACAGCTCCTGAGAGCAAAATCAAATAAATCCGGGCTCCCAAACTGGCACAATCCCTCCTGGAAATTCAGGAGAAAATAACATAATATAACTTACCAGATATAAATTAAAATATAGATGGGTGGGAGAACACCAATCCACATGCTCTGAGAAATTAGGGATAAAAGATTCAAGGCGTCCTCAATGTTTAACCACCAAAACCAATTTTTAATTTGCTTTTGTAGCTGTGCACGGAGAGGGAACAGCAGCAGCTCTGTCCCCTCACGGATGAGAGTTTAAAACCTCACAGAGGTTTAACCTGGGTGAGGAAAAAGGGCAAGGAAAAAGCTGGACTTTTTCTGAAAAAGCTGGATTTTATCCATCATTTTGATCTGCTGAGCCAGAGGTTTCTGCTCCACTTTCCAAGCTGGCAGGTGGATGTGGAGTTTGGATCAGGAGTTTGGATGTGGAGTTTGGATCAGGAGTTTGGATGTGGAGTTTGGATATGGAGTTTGGATAGGGAGTTTGGATTTGGAGTTTGGATAATGAATTTGGATAAGGAGTTTGGATGTGGAGTTTGGATCAGGAGTTTGGATTTGGAGTTTGGATAGGGAGTTTGGATTTGGTGTTTGGATAGGGAATTTGGATAGGGAGTCTGGAGTTTGGATAATGAATTTGGATAGGAAGTTTGGATGTGGAGTTTGGATAGGGAATTTGGATAGGGAATTTGGATAGGGAGTTTGGAGTTTGGATAATGAATTTGGGTAAGGAGTTTGGATTTGGAGTTTGGATAGGGGGTTTGGAGTTTGGATAGGGAGTTTGGATTTGGAGTTTGGATGTGGAGTTTGGATAGGGAGTTTGGATAGGGAATTTGGATTTGGATGTGGAGTTTGGATAATGAATTTGGGTTAGGAGTTTGGATTTGGAGTTTGGATAGGGGGTTTGGAGTTTGGATTCGGAGTTTGGATGTAGGAAGTTTGGATGTGGAGTTTGGATAGGGAGTTTTGCAAAACCCTCCCTCTCTCCTTCATCCAACAGCTCAAGTCCTGGTTGGAGGGGAGGGAAGGGAGAGGAGAGGTCTGAGTTCAGACTCTGCAATGACTGCTCCTTTTCCCTTCTCAGGGCTCTGGGCTGGCAGGGGAAGCTGAAGGGTTTATTTGGTTTATTTAACCTTTCCCCTGCCAGAGGCTACCTGCTGGAGGCTGGGAAGCTGCCTTGGGAGAGGGAATAGGAGAAAGGATGAAAAATCCACCTGCTTGCCTGGATCACACCACAAACCCCAAAACTGAAGCAGACAAAGTGAGGGAGGACAGAAATCTGAGCACTTGTCACTGCAGAGGGGAAACTGAGGCACGGAGGGCCAGGATGGGTTGCCCAGGCTTGCCCAGGGAAGGTGCAGTGGGGAATTGAGCTCTGTTCTCGTGAAGTTCACAGCCTGACAGAGCTTCCTTTTTTTTTTTCTTTTTTTTTCTTTTTTTTTATTTCTGTTTCAAAGAGGAACTTGGAATTTATGAGGCAAGTAATTTGTCAGGACAAAGCCGGGATGGGGGGAGGAGGTCAAAATGCTGGCGCAGCCTCAGAACCCTCCTAGGCACTGAAACAGGAGGGAAGCAGAGACAGAACCAAAGGTAAAACTGGATGGGATGTTCAAAAATAAACCAGAAATGGTCACGTACCCCAGCAGCTCCCTGGGGTGTGCTGAGGGTCACGGCCCTGCATCAGGGGCTCAGGGAGGGAAGAGGAGAGAGGATTAGAGCCCCAGTGTTTGGCAGAGCTGGATGCTGAACAAACAAGCAATGAGTCAGATGGGACAGGATCGTTTTGAGGGTTCAAAGTGTCAGCGTGTGCCGGAGGAGGAGCCTGGCTGAGGTTATCCAAGAACTGCGGCTGATTATGATCAGCTTCCCCAGTCTCCCTTCATTATCCTCCCTTCCCTGTGGGAATTTCTGGCTCCAGACGCCCCTCTCCACAGGTGTTGAGCCAAGCTCCTGCTCCAACCCTCATTTTATTCTCCACTTGCAGCAGAACTGAGCAAGCTAGGTGAGGATTTAAGACCCCAAAACCGAAGGGTCCCCTCTTGTTCTCAGCGTGCCAAATTTCCTTCCAGTGCTGTGCTGGGTGCAGCTTTCCAGCTCCAGGGGATTCCTGGTGCAGAGGGAGCTGTGGGATAAACAGGCTGGGGGTGATAAGGGCTGGAGGTCTGGGCCTGGGTGATAAACACACACCCCTTTCTCACTCGGGGCCAAAAATCCACCTCAAATGAAAACCACAGTGCTTTTTCTGGGGTGGAAATTCCTGCTGGGAGAGAGAATGGTGTGTCCTGCCTAGTGTCCTGCTCCTTGGGATGGCTGGGGACTGGGAGAGGGACACTGAGCTGCCTTGTGCAAATATTCTCCCTGTGGTTTGTCAGAGCAGACAGCTTGGGATGGTTTTATAAACGGGGAGACTGAAACAGAGAGAGAAAACCCTGATGGCTTCCCAAAAAGTGTTTGGTGGGATGAGGATGGGATCTGGATGCTGAGGGGAGGCCTCCCACTGCTGGGATGGCTGTGGAACCGGGGCAAACTGGGATGTTCCGCTTCCGTGTGCCCCTTGCCACACATCCCGGTTTTTCCTGGCTGAATTCAGTCACAGCAGCTCCCTAAAGAGCATCAGGCTGATTTTTCTGAGAGGATGAATCCTTCCCCATCCCATTTGCACATGGATTGGCATTTATCTGTAGTCCTAGATCCAAACCTCGTTCTAGCTCTGCTCTAACTGAAAAATGAATCATTCTCTGAGAACTCCAATGACTTCAGCTGCAGGCAGCAGTGTCCAAAGCACAAAACACGTGGTTTTGGTTAAACAAAAATCTCCACATACTTTTTGGGGCTTGTAATAGAAACACCAGCCCAGGAAACGAGCAGGAATTCTTATCCTTGAAATCCCACCTCAGCTTCACTAATTGTGGCACAGCCTGGATGGATAATCACTTGCCAGGAGACAACCAGGTGGTCACAGCTCATCCTGCAGTGGCCAAAGAGAAGGTGCTTTCAAGATATTTTAATGAGTAAGAGACAACATGGGGGATTTAAGGTGTTGTCCCTTTTTCCTTCTTCTTCCTTCTTCATCTTCTTCTCCTAAAGGTTTTTGGGTAATAATGAGTAATTGGATAAAGAAATCCACACAGGTGTCGGGTCATTGGGTCACTAAGAAAAATAACTTACGTGGCATTTGATTATTAGATTAATACATACATGAAAGACCTTGGAGAGATTCTTTGCTCTCCATTTTGCACCTCTCTATCTTAGTGTGTGGAGCTCTTTGTGCTCTCTGTATATGTAATATACATATGTATATATATAATAATATAATATGACTTGATATGCTATGCTATGATATGATATAATATGATATGATACTATAATACGCTATGATATCCTATGATATGATACAATGTAATACAATATGATATGATATCATATCATATATAACAGAATATAACATATATTATGTTATATTTATTATATATTATAATATATATTATAAATATATAATATTATTATAAATATATAATATTATTATATAATATATAACTATGAATAATTGTAATATAATATATACTATACACTATACAGTATATAGTATATACTATACATAATATGATATATATAATTACTATATATAATATATATTTGTATATCCTATATATTATATAACATAATATATATTATACATAATATATTATATATATAATACATAGATATTATACATAATATATAATATATTATATATATTATACATAATATATGATATTATATATATATATACATAATATATGATATTATATATATATATAATACATAGATATTATACATAGATACATATCTATATTACATATATATATGTAATATAGATAAGGAAAGAATAAACAACTAACCTCAAACACAATAAAACCAGTTTCACTCTCATCAGTCAGTGCTGGGGATAAAGAACCCAGCCACCAATGTCACACCGGGGTGGATCAGCTGTGATCCCCCTGCTCATCCAGCTGGATCCAAGGAGCCTCTCTGCCCATCTCCCAGGGAGGCTGCTCAGGAGCCACTTGGCACTGCCAATTTTCATCAGCCCTTTCCCTGCGGAGCCAGAACTTTCCTGGCGAGCAGAATTTCTCCCGCACTAGTTCTGGCCGCATTTTTCAGGCTGCCACCTGCAGATTTTGTTACCTCGGGCAGGGTTTGTAAACCGGCAGCAAAGGGATTTCTGCCATCCTCCGGTGAGTCACCGGGGAGGGGACAGGAACTCAACTCACGAGGGTTGGTTCAAGAGTTCAAGATCAGGAATATATTAACAATCTTCTCTCTGCCCTCCTTTCGGCTGGAAAAGCTCTCTCGGAGCCCCTTTAGGTACTGGAATGGGCGCTGAAGTTTCCCGTTCCTGTCGTTCCTGAAGCTCCTGTACCGCTCCATTCCAACTCCCACCACATCTCCACCACCTCCAGAAAATCAGATTTTCCTTGGAATTAATGCTTCTCACGCACTCCCCTGATAACGTGCAGCAGCAGAGCCGTTTGTGTAACACAAAAAGTCCAAAGATTTAACTTTTTTTACATTTTTTCCCGCTTCATCTCGAGTTCTAGGCCACAAAATAAACCAAACAGCCCAAAAAAACCCACCCAAACCAAACAACCAAACAACAACAACAAAAAAAAACCCCAACAAAAATAAAAAAACAAAACAAAACCCTACGAAAGAGATGGAATTTCCCGACTTCCCAGCTCAGGGGCGAGATGACGACTGTTTTGCAAGGTTGTCTTTGCACCTCGAACCACACCAGCATGGATTTCTCACCAGGGATTACTCACTTTTCCCGGAAAACAAAAGACCCACGGCTCTGCTCGCTGCAGTCCGGTGAGTGATAGGAAAAAAATGCAAGATGGAGAAGCAACACCCTGAGAAACCATTCCCCAACATTCCTGTGTGATTCGAAATTTGAGGGCTGAGAGAAAACAACGAGAAAATAAGAGCGGCTACAAACGGAATGGAACTTGAGAAGCCAATTCAGCTTTCTGGAGAGAAATTTAGCTTTTCTGCGCGCTGGGCACAGAGGGGACCTGCGCTGGGACAGCCCCTTGTCCTCTTCCTCCCTCCCTGCCCCGCCCCGCTCTCAAAACCCCATCCCACGTAACCCCATCTACATTCAATTCATACATTCTCCAGGGATCGGCGGGTGTCGTGTGGTTGTGTCCGGAGCTGGCCCGAGCTGTGTCCGGAGCTGTGTCCGAGCTGTGCCCGCTCCGTGCCCGAGCTGTGCCCGCTCCGTGCCCGCTCCGTGCCCGCGGCGCTCAGGATGCCCCGAGGTCACGGCTTCCCGGTGCTCCTTCTGGTACGGTCAGTGGGGAGGGGGCTGCTGGGGACCCTCCGGGAGCGCGGTCAGGAGGGTCCCGAGCCCTGTCGGGGCCGGGCGGTGCTGTCGCGACATGCCCGGACTTGCCGCGCTGTAGAGGGGCTCGGAGCGCCGCGGTGGGACTGGGTCCGACGAGGGGGGAAAAAAGGTGGGGAGGAGGCAGCGGGGTGTTTGGGGGCTGCCCCAGTGAGGGGG